ACAACTTCAGGGATTTGTCCTTGACTCAGCAGAATATTGTGCAACTTAAACGTCTGCTTGCAACTTCGGGTTCTAAACCAATAGGTTCTATCGGTCTTGTTGCTGACTCTTCTAGCTCAGTGAGACCACCCACTTCACAGTTAGGAGCACAACACAAGAGCTTTGCTTGGTTTTGGCCTTCGTCTCTATGATTTTTCTTTCGCTGCCATCGCATCTATAGTCTAGTATGTGCTATCTAGTTTTCTGTATTTTCGCTGCGTCCACCAAGACTGTTGCTCTTTTTCGTGTTTCTCATGTCATGTGAGTTCACCATACCTTATCCGTTAGCCTTTTGTCCTTGTCCTTTCTATAGGATTTTTGTGGCCTCCTTTTGAATTGTCGATCTACACCCATTCTCTTGCCGTCGAGCTTTTTTCGCCGCCGGTTTTCCTGGGCTATGGTTTTTTGCACAATGTTTCATTCTCTTGATGTACCATTTTCTTTTGACAACCCATCTTCTCTTGTATCTTCTACCGATGAGGTGTCTTCCTCTGATGCGACATCTTGTTTGTTGTTTATCCCCTTTGGCTTGACTCAACAGGTTTTTAAGACTCTTCATGCTGCGTCGAAACTGTCAAGACGTGGATTACGGAGTATTAGTATTAGTCTAGGAGTCCTTATTAGGCTGTGTTTCCTTCCTTGTACCGCAAGTCTTGTGTACTATATACTCCCTCCATTCCTAAATATAGGTCTTTTAGAGATTTCAATAAGAACTATATATGGATGTATATAGACATATTTTAGAGTGTAGATCCACTCATTTTGCTCCGTATTTAGTTTGCATTGAATCTCTACGAAGACTTATATTTAGGAGTGGAGGGAGTATTTATTAGGCTATGCATCCTTCCTTGTACTCCAAGTCTTGTGCACTATATATTTGCCCCTTGGGTTTTGCAATAGAGATAAGTTGCACCCATAACGGTTGTCTTATCCTTGTGCAAGCCATGCTCACCGCACCGCTGCACCCATCTTTCATCTTATCTCTGTTGATCCCCCTACCGTGGGTCTTCAAGGCTATTGACAAGATTCGTAGAGTCTTCTTTCAGAAAGGAACCGATGCCTTTGCGGGTGGGCATTGTTTGGTCAGTTGGAAGGTGATCTGTAGGCCAAAGTGAGCCGGTGGCCTCGGCATGCTTGACCTATAAATCATGTGTAGAGCCTTCAATCTACGCTGGGAGTGGAGGTCGTATGGCTGCTGACATTCCTTGGCGTTACTACGGCGCCTCACTGGAGGTTTAAGAAAAGGATCTGTTCAATGCTGCAGCAAAGGTTGTGGTTGGCAACGGCGAACACACCTACTTCTGATGCGTTAAGTGACTTGATGGTGTTTTCCTGGGCATGGTCGCACCGTAGATTGTCAACCTGATCGCTCCCTCAGAAAGGCGTCAAGGTGTTATGTGGCTGCTAGAAAGAGGGCGCGAGAGGGCCGGCCGGGGGCCTTTTTTGCCCACGGCCGATCAAGAGGGAAGGGATTTCCTTCTTAATTCTTGCTTGATTAGATTGATACATCTCCTCCCCTTATATAGAGAGGTTTACTTGACTCTTCAGCAAGGCTTACTTAACCCCTAAGCAAGCGACCCTTGTCTCTAATTAACCCTAAGACTAACGGGCTATACCACCAGCCCAGGCCCATCAGGCCCATTACGTACTCTAACACTACACCCCACCTGGACATGCAGCTTGTCCTCGAGCTGCAACCTAACCAACTTATAACCATGACTCGACGCAACACAAACCTAACACCTAAAAACAAGCCTTTTACATCTCGGCTTGTTTTATTACTCTCAACCTGAAATGGACTGGGACGCTTTATTTTGGACCCCTGTACATAAAGTGGACACTATCCGCACATCGGACGTGCATGTGTACAGCCACCTGGATCCCGTGGACACCATCTGGACAAAAGGAGTGCATGTGTATGGCCACCTGGAAGTGGTCGCACAGAGGCGCGCTCGCGGCGGCCGGCGGCGGAATGCAGTGGTGCTAAACGCTGCGCTCCTGTCGGTGACACCATGCCTTCTCCCTGCCGGACGGCTGTTGGTCTGCACCGCACAGAAAAGAGTGGAGGGCTTTCGATGTCATAGACTTTGAGGTTGCCCCCCAACCGAAGATGGAGAATGGCGAGGAGGGGTGCGCCCCCCAACCGCCGATGTCGTAGACTTTGAGGTCGTTGTCCGTGGGGAAAACAGCATGCCCGCCGCCCGGAAAAGCGCATGCCCAAGATCCCCGATGCAACGGACGAGATCGAGGTCCTTTGCGCAGTGAAGCGCAACTGGGAGGAGCGGCAGCTGCAGACCACGCATCTCCCGCATACGCCGACGCGCTAGGAGGCCGCGCACAGCAGCCTGCAGCCTCACCGCCGCCGACACGTGGTGGGTAGTGATCCAAGCCGGGAGCGGTGACGGCGACGGTGGGAACTTGATCTGCTGGATGGGGACGCCCTGGGACGGTGGCAACGCTGATGAGAACGAGGTCGTCGCAGTCCCGTCGTAGGGCATCCCATACTGGTACGAGATGACCGGCGCCCTGGTCGCGTCCGAGGGCGGCAGCGGCGGGGGTAGCTGCTATTGGTGTGGCAACGGAGGAGGTGGCTGCTGGGGATGCGGCTGGGGGCATAGGGCCTGACGAGGAAGGCCCTGATGCCCGTCACAGCCTGCCGTAATTCCAGGATTGCGGCTGTCATCTGCTCCGGGGTGAGGACAAGGGCGGACGATGCTGGGGCAGAGGGTGCAATCGCCCCTGAGGATGCCATCACGCGCAATGCCGGCGCGCCTGCTGTGTGGGGCAGCAGCGCCGATGAAGACGCTAGTGGCGGCGGGTAGGTGTGCGGCGGCGGCGGGTGGGAAGAACTCTGTGGAGGGCTGGACATGATTGAATCCGGGAAAGCTGATATCAAATTGTTATGTGGCTGCTAGAAGGAGGGCGCGAAAGGGCCGGCCGGAGGCCTTTTTTGCCCACGTCCAGGCAAGAGGGAAGGGATTTTCTTTTTAATTCTTGCTTGATTAGATTGATACATCTCTTCCCCTTATATGGAGAGTTTAATTGACTCCCCAGCAAGGCTTACTTGACCCCTAAGCAAGCGACCCTTATCTCTAATTAATCCTAAGACTAACAGGCTATACCGCCAGCCCAGACCCATTAGGCCCATTACGTACTCTAACACGAGGCCTTGCTTGATCCGGCTTGGTTAAAAGACATAAGGGGCACCTTAACATCCGTGCTTATCTTCAATTACTCGAGCTCTGGGAAAGAGTTTGCGGTTTAATCTCCACCCGGAGCACAAAGATAGCTGGTCATGATCGTGGGAGCCTGTCAGGAACCTGACCTTGGGCAACGCCAGTGACTTTAATTCCACCTCGGATATGGGAGAAGGCTAGGACCTCTTTATAAGGGAGAGTGCCACACTCCTCTAGGTCGGTCTTTTGGGATGTGATAGGCTCTCCGCTTGTAGTGGAGTGTCCGATGCGCATCAGAAACGTTCGATCATATGCCGATGGACCGGGAGCTGAGCTTGAGTTGCTAACAAGTGGTATCAGAGCTGGGCCCCATGCCACCCTAAGGGGGGCTTCCCTAGGGAGGGGGGTGGGGTGTCAGGAACCTGACCTTGGGCAACGGTAGTGACTTTAGTCCCACCCGGATATGGGAGGAGGCTAGGACCTCCTTATAAGGGAGAGTGTCACACTCCCTTCACGCTGGTCTTTTGAGATGTGATGGACTCTCCGCTTATAGTGGAGTGTCCAATGCGCACCTGAAACATCCGATCGTATGCCGATGGACCGGGAACTGGGCCTGGGTTGCTAACAGAGCCTAGCGGTAATTTCTTGGTCATGTCCGTCTATGCGGTGCACTTTGCCGCTTCCTCTAGGAGCAGCTTCGATGAGGTCATTTGGAAGGCTAAAGCCCCGCTCAAGTGCAAGCTCCACCTTTGGCTTGTGTCGTGCAAGAGAATCTGGACGACCGATCGCCTTGCCAAGAGAGGTCTCCCTCATAACAAGCAATTTTCCATGTGCAGTTTCGTGCCTGAGTACTGCAGTCATCTCTTCGCCGCTGCACCGTCACCAATATAGTTTGGAACTCCATCCTCCAATGGGCTAACTTACAGGCGTTTGTCCCCACCATGGACCAGGGCCTCGTGTCATGGTGGATCGCTGCTAGGGAAGCTTACCACGGCAAGGACAGGAAGAGGCTTGATTGTCGTGGTAGAAAGGAATGCTTGTTTTTTTTAAAGTACTTTATTGTGATCTGTGCCATAACTTGGTATTATAATTTGCATAAACCACACAGTTATATAAAGTAAACCATGATGTTACTTAAGTTGTATCTGCAAGTTTTGTGGGTGCTTCTACTGCCTACTTCATGCCAATAGGTTATTTTATAAGCAAGTGTCGTGGATTTAGTACAAAGTTGTTATTTTAGGATGGAGGGAGTACTATTTTATGACATCCAAGAATGTGATCACTTTGGGACTCTGTTCTAGCTTTCTGTTTGGTTAGTAAGTGTTGCATGGTCAAAAAGAAGATTATACAAAGTGTTATCTCCATAACTAAATATAAGATGTTTTTGAACTGCAAAAACATCATATATTTAGTAACAGAGGTAGTACTCCCTCCGTCCGAAAATACTTGTCATCAAAATAGATAAAAAGGGATATATCTAGAACTAAAATACATCTAGATACATCCCTTTTTATTCATTTTGATGACAAGTATTTCCGGACGGAGGGAGTACTAAATAACATGCAGTAGTAGCAGTTGTGACACAGGGATTTCGGAATTGACTAGTGTGGAAGCTATTTTTGTTTGCATTGTTTTGACTTTTAGCGTAATCCTAGACGTGCATTGTTGAATTTAATATATTTAGCTAGTCTCTCTGTCTCAAAATATAAGACGTTTTTTGACACTGGAGTACATGTTTTTAAATGTTGGCCTTATTAGTTTTCTGACTCTAAACTAATGCAATTGCAGGCGTTACTTCTTTCTGATAACATTTAGGTCCTACGTCCATTGTACATCCTTGCATGAAGTAACATTTGCGTCATGGATGGAGGCTAGGCCTGAACTCGGCCACCTCTGCGATAACTTAAAGCTGGATAGATAGTGGTCATTATTTTGGAGCCCGGGGTGTCTTGGGACTGGTGGACGCGTGGACTCAACCATTTCTGGACCTGAGAAGGTGGTACTAAAAGCGATGAGTAAGGAGTAAAGATAATTTGGAGGGAGTATGTATTGGCCGAAAGAGGGGCATTGTATTGAAAATTAACAGAGGCAAGCATGTATGTGTTTATATATTTATATATTGTCAAGCTTAAGTTGGACTAGGACAGTAAAGTTGAGCTTTCCGATCTACTCCCTCTGTCCGGTAATGTAAGACGCCATTTAACACTACACTAGTATAAAAAAAACATCCTACATTATGGGACAGAGGGAGTACATGTTTTTCACTGCTTCCAAATTATAGTCGTCATTTAGATGCATGGCCTTGTTTTGCTCAACAAACTGGACTTTAGGAGCTCTTCCTGTACTTTTTTTATATGCTCCTTGGGTAATATTTATGGATTGGCCATCTGTAAATTACGTGAACCTGCTTTTCATAACAGATTTATTTTCCTGTCGTAATCTGAAAATAAGAGAGGGCTCACTTATGCATAATATTGAACTTGTCATAGGCCGTCTGATTGAAAGCATGGCCAGACGTTGCTTCATTGGTGAAGTGGTCCGTTATAATTTGCTTCACGAAAGAAAATTCTTGGGCTCGAAACGCTTGACCCAACCCCTCTCCTCTCCCGCGACCGCGCCGCCCCCGTGGGCGGCTGGCCGCGCCCAGCCTTCTCCGCGCGCTTCTCCCTCCCCCTTCCTCTCTGTTGCCGTCGCCGGCGCTCGTTGCGGGGCTGGCCCGGGCGACGCTGGTGGCGGCGGCCCCCTGGCTTTTCCCCTCTCGGGTGTTCGTCGGCGCGGGTCGGGGCGACCACGGGCGATGCTTCTAGGTGGCGGCGGGGGCTCCTTGCGCGAGCGGGGGCGGACTTCTGGACAGCGGCGTCGCCGTTGGCGGCAGGGCGACGGTGGAGGCGCGGTCTGGCGGCGCCCGCTCGGCCCAGATCTGGGCCCTTCGGGCCCCATTTGGGCCTGGGCGGGCCGGCGGCGGGGTGGGTCTGCTTCGTGGCTTCCGGGAGGCGGGGGAGAGGCGATGAGCGCCAGGGTGCTGGTGGCGCCATCGCCGGCTTGCTGCAGCGTGGCGGCGGGGCTTAGCGGGCCCGTTTCGGGCTTGGCCGGGCCAGGGGTGGCTTGGCATGCCCTGCTGCTGCGTTCGGACGGCTACCGCGACGGTGCCAGAGGCTCTGACCTCCCGACGACGGTGGTGGAGGTGGTTCCCTCCCGTTCGGCTTCGGTGCCGCTTCTCCCTCCTCGGGACGCTTCTCTCCGGTCCTCTTGGCCTCGTGGTGGTGTTCATAGTGAGGCGGCGTGGGTGACGACGCAACCGCGATGGCGCATGGTGGTGGGCGGCGGTCTGGCTGGTCGGCTCCGGTCCGTTGGGCGGTGGGGATTGGAGTATGGGAGAAATCCTTGCCGGTCTTCAGCCCCGATGCGGTGACACCTGCGGGTGCCACCATTCCTTCATGGAGGGTGTCGGTGATATCCACCCCCCACCTCGCTCCGCGTGCCGGGGAAACCCTAGGACATGTCCGGGCAGGAGTGTCGTTGGCGTCGCTTTCCTTCTTGGAGGTGTTGTTTTGTACGTGGTGGTCCGGAGCCTCAGGTTGTAGTGGTTTGTCTCTGGTGGGCGTAGCGGTGGCGGGTCATCCACGCTCTGTCGAGCTGCCATTGTTGGCATTTGCTTCTTCTTCTTTTTTCTTTTGGGCTTGTTGTGTTGTTCGCCCCAGCGATCCTGTATCTGTGTTGGTTGCTTTGGAATACAAAGCGGGGGGAAACCCTTTTACGGTAATTTGCTTCATTGGTGAAGCAGTTGCAATAGAGTTTCTAGATAAAAGCAGTTAATACAGCAGAGTATTTGCAACCGGACTCCTCATATGCCCCTTATACATCCCGGTGGACAGCCCGGTCAAGAAATTGTGATTTAGCTGCATCCCTCATACCGGCCCTATATGTCGGGTTGATCGGCACTCCTCATATCCAACCCATATCTAGGGCGGATATGGGGGAGGCTTGGAAGCGCGCGTGCGCATACCTGGCGCCTGATCCAGCTGTTGCTGGCTCACCTTGACCCCACATATGTTTGTCCCTATCAACATCCCAAACCAAACCCTAGTCACTCCACTTCACTTTGCCCCCGAACTCCTTTTCAGCGATCTTCGGCCTTCTTCCGTATGGCAGGCAACAAAATTGATTATGAAATCTCCCGGCCCGTCGACCTCATCCCATGCGGGGACGAGGATTTAGCCGTCTGGCTGGCTGACCATCGGTCTTGGAGGAAATCCCACCTCCGCGGTCGGAGTCGCATCGGGGCGAATCCATTGCGTCTGTGCAAATGGCGCTTGGATCCGGTGACATTGGTGGCTCGAGGCGTGTGATCGTGGCCTCACCAGATGCGTCGACTATTGGTTGGTGGTGCAACCCCTTCGATGGCGCCTTGTCCCCCATGGCATCGGGCTCTGAGCCGAAGTTCAACACCGGCATGCGCCATGGCCCAACCGGTGCAAAGGACCGGCATGCCCGTCGTGCAAGGAACAAGGCACGACAAGCCAGAGTAGCCCCAAAGGTCAAGGCCATAGAGGTGATGTCGCATGCCGCATTGGACAACAACGACGAAGCCCCTCATGCCCACATCCTCGAGAAGCAGCAAAGGAGGACGATACACACCCTCGCAAGGGAGCAAAGCGTAGCAGTCCGTGCCATGGCTGACTGCCCCCCATGAGGAGAAGCAGGAAGCCAATGACGGCAGTGAGAAGATCCGAATTGATCCATTTTGCGTATTCGACCGCTACTTTGGCGATAAAGATGACAAGGGAAAGGGCAGTTGCGGGTGAACAATCTCCACAACTCTAGTATTTAGAACATGGCAATTTTTGGTAGTCTGATGGTGTATGATGAAGTTGGAGCATGCCAATTTTTTGGTAGTCTGATGACATGTATGATGTTGTAGTTGTATGGTATTTGTGGGAAAGATGTAGTATGTGAGTTCAGTTTATGTTGCATGACATTGTATGAATTTGAGGGTTTGCTAATGAGGTACTCGTGGACACGAACACTTGAGGAGTGATCGACGCGTCCGCAGACGTTGAGGGGCAGATTAGCTAGGTCCGGCTATAGATGCTCCCATGGAACTCGTGAAGAAGATGCTGCTGGTTTCCCATGTAAGCCATGAAGAGTGCAAGCCCGCCCATTGTATCTCCAAGTCCACAACAGAACAAGTAGTTATTATCTTGTAATCATGTTGGTGTGTTTTCTAGGACACATGTGTTGGAAATATGCCCTACAGGTAATAATATTGTATTATTATATTTTCATGTTCGTAATTAAGAGTTTATATTCTATATTATAACTGCTATGGTTCTTGAATATGCGATTCGATGGAAAACTCATATGCACGTGTACAATGATAATGGTAAATTAGGTTCCTAGTCTTGCCTCTAAGATGGGCTCAAGTGTTGTTGGTGATCATGTTTTCCAGATCTTAGGATATCGCTAAGTGCAACGATGGTCCTAAAACAACATTGAGAGGAAGAACGATCATATTGAATCGACCCAAACTTGTTTATTAGGGCATCTCCAGCCGTTGGAGCCCCCCAGGACAATCGCTAGACCGAAAATAGCATGTCCTGGAGGGGGGGGGGGCAAACACTTCCGCCGGCGCCTCCATGAACCTGTGTTCCCAGTTGTTGGCGTCCCCAGAAGAACTGCTGGGCACAAAGTGTTTGGGTGGGCCTGGAAAAAGAATGTATGTGTAAGTGCATCTAGTGCCACCCCTAATTGGTTTTGGAGTATTGACGACAAACCTAGTTGAGGGACTAATGTGTTTGTGAGAATTGCAGGAAAACACAGGTAGAAGTCCCTCATTGATTCGGTTTCACTACCAGAGATGACCCCTAAAAATGTATGAAGACATTGAAGACAAAGGTGGTATATGAAGATATTCACATTGAAGACTATGACAAAAGAAGACACGGTATGAAGCCTATGGAGCTCGAAGACTTAGATCTTTCGTAGTTCCTTTTATTTTGTGTTGAGTCATAGGAACCACCGTACTGTTAAGTGGGGTCCAGGAAAACCAGTCAGAATGACTGAAGTGATGCCTAAATCAAAAACTTATGTCTTCGAGTGAAGACAATGAGAGCGAATCTTGTCCAGAGCCGGACAAGTTAGCTTTGCTTGCAGCCCAAGTAAAGTTGCCATGAGAGTTCGAAATCTGACCGTTGAGACACATGTCAGTTCCTTAGTGACCCAGGGTCATTTCGGACAAATCAGGTCGGGTTGCCAAGTGGCTATAAATAGCCCACCCCCACAACCATAAACGGTTGGCTGCTCAGATTTCAGTGCACGGCTTTTGTCGTTTGAGAGCAACCCACCTCGAAGCCTTTGAGAGAAAATTCCTAGTGAGGAGAAAAGCCCTAACCACCCAGAGCCAGAGCTAATTGGGCATCACTTAGGTCTTCTTGTTTGTGTGATCTGAAGACTTATTACACTTGAGGACTGTGAATCCTCCAGACGGTTAGGCGTCGCGTTCAGAGTATCCAAGAGACATTGTGGATTGCCAGTGGACGAAGTTTGTGAAGGTTTGGGAGTCTACCTTGAAGACTTACCAGAGTGATTGGGCGAGGACTAGGCGACCTTAGCTCAAGGAGAATACGGTGAGGACTTGGTGTCCTGAACTGTGTGTTCAGGACTGGGTGTCCGGGACTGTGTGTCCAAAGGTTTAAATACCTAGCCGCTCCAACCAGACGTACAGTTGTCACAGCAACTGGAACTGGTCCAACATATCATTGTCTTCAACGAATCACTGGTTTCATCTTCACTTCCTTTTCTTACT